TATGTACATGGATACCACATCATTCTAGAAAGAAAACCAAGAAATGTTGTTGATGACTGGTCACTCTAGTGACCCTAGCATGACAGAGATTCTGTTAATAAAACAGAAGGGAAGAATAATTAGCAATGTCTACCAAAGACACTGTTAGCAATAACTCTGTATCTGTCCTTAAGAGACAGAAAGACACTATAAGAATGGACAGAAAGGAATTTTGTGTATTGAAGTTTTTTCATAATATTTACTACATCCAGAGTTCTAGATGCCTAGTGTGCTCTTACCTTCTCTATGATGGCTAACCATCCAGGGCCATTATGCTTAAAACCTTCTGGTGACTATGGAGTAGTGTTTCTAAACTCAAGAAATAAGTTATGTGGCTGTGGGGTACTAGGAGGATGGACTATAAGGCAGCTACTTCAGGCCACTTTGGCATGTAACTGTCTGAAAATGTCCACTTTAGCCTGTAACTGTTCTAAAAGTGTATGCTAGCATGTGACTGTTCTAAAAGTCTCTATGTTAGCATGTAACTGTTTTAAAGGTGTCCTCTTTTGCATGTAACTTATAAAAGTGCCCACTTTAGCATGTAACTATTCTAAAATTGCCCATTTTTACATGTAACTATTCTAAAAGCATCCACTTCATTCACTTAGATATCCTCTCTGTCATGAGATCTTCCTCAATTTCACCCCAGTTGGAATTAGTTAACATGTTCCCCTAAACGCCACAGTACTTTCTATGATAGCCTTTGGAGAGATAGTTCACATGAATTTACAGTTCAATTATGACACTAAGTCTAATTTTCATATTTTCAGAGCTGTGGACCATCACAGGATCACATTTTTTTTTCATCTCAAAAACCCTGTATTGTCCCCCATTTACCTAACCCATTAATATATCTTTTGTATGGAGTGCCCTATTTGAAAATTTCATATGAATAGAATTATTCAATATCCTCTCATAGTCTCTTGTTGCTCCTTGCTCTACAGACAGAGTTCCTAGTTTGCCAGGCCCAGTCCGTTTTCATGATTTCAAAAGTTACATGGTACCCTCCTCTGCTGCTGAATCTCTTTATAGAATGGAAAGGGAAACAAAATGGCAAACTACTGGACGGTTATTTTCAAGAGATACTTTGACCAAAGAAGCAGAGTTAATTGTATCATTTATTGCCTTTAGGGCAAGGGATGCAATGCTATGCAGGCATCTTTAATCTACTTACTCTTCCTTTTGCCCTTTCTCCATCCCTAAGAGTCAATCTAAAGGGAACTGTATGTAGCAGAAGAGAAAACACTTGGTGGCAGCTAAAGTGCCTCAGCATTTACAAGTGAAAGGAATGAGGCCCACAGCATTAGTAATGGGATTTAAATGGATTTAGGAACTGAGGTTGAAACAGGAGCCTAATTAGAAGATTCCAGGGTCACCATGTCAGTCCTCACCTGTCCACCAACAGACAGGCTGTCCGCAGCTCTCACTTCAAAGACTTGGCCTGTTTGTCTTTCTGTATGAGGGAAAATATGCCTTGGCTATGCAGCCTGATGCACTCCCAGCTGGATACAGATGTGAGCAGAGGTTTAGCTTATATTTGGCTCAGAGAAAAGCTACTAAAAAACATAGTGTGTATTTAATGATTTCCATTTAAAGGGATCAGAAAAAAAATCATATCAGATAGAAATGTTGTGCTAGTGCTCTCTCTCTCTCTCTCTCTCTCTCTCTCTCTCTCTCTCTCTCTGTGTGTGTGTGTGTGTGTGTGTGTGTGTGTGTGTGTGTGCATGTGAATGCAATGCAGAGGCCACAGAACAACTTTAGATGTCATTCCTCAGGAGCCACTTTGGTTTTGTGAGATGGGGGTCTTTATTGGCCTGGAGCTCACTGACTAAGCTAGACTGGATGGCCAGTTCTTTATCTCCCCATTGCTAGGATTACAACTGGGTACCACTACACCTTCTCTTCTTCTTCCTCCTCCTCCTGTTCCTCTTCCTCCTCCTCCTGTTCCTCTTCCTCCTTCTGCTTCTCCTCCAGCTCCTCTTTGTCTTCTTCCTCTTCTTCTTTCTCCTCCTCCTTCTCTTCCTTCTCCTCTTTCTTCTCCTCTTCCTCCTCTTCCCCTGATCTTCTACCTCCTGTTCTTTCTCTTGTTCCTCTTCCTCCTCCTCTTCCCCTGTCTGCATCTTCATCTTCTAACTTGGATTCTGTAGATTGAACTGAGGTCTTCATGCTTGCACACATTTTACTGACTGAACCATCCCACCAGCTCTATGCTATCTTAGTTTTTAACTGTTCTTTAAAAATAGGAATAAAAGACTAGGACAAGAAATAATAATAATAATAATAATAATAATAATAATAATAATAATAAAAGTCTTCCTATTCTTGAGGGTGAGATCTTATGATGATTCTGCCTATACTTGGGACCCAAGTTGTTGGGAACACTTGCTAAGCTGAACGCCCTTCCCTTTCTTCTTGGCTAGATATACATGGCTAATTCATATCTTTAACCTACTTGGTTTCCCATGACAGGTTAATCATCTTTGTTCAGCACCTGAGTGGGTAGCATGTCTGGGAAAACTGGGGACAGGTTAGGATCTAAATCAGTTGAGCAGAGTGAGTTGCTGTCATTGTGTAACAAGCTGTCATACTTCGTGTCTCTGTAGGCTACGTCATCCTAGGTCACAGAGCATTTCATAGCAGACCCCTGCTTCCCTTTGCCCCTGACCATCTGTGGATACTTGTGCAGGGATATTGTTGGATCTGGGAAGTTGGAGGTGGTGGGAAAGAACAAAGAGCAGAAATGGAATTTGGTGACAGAATCAGATGCTGTGTGAGGCTTTTACATGGAATAGAGTCTTCCTATCACCTGGACTTTTCTTTCAGGAGGCAATACTCAACAATGATTCCATTAGACTGAGTTTTAATTTTCTTACACACACACACACACACACACACACACACACACACACACACACTCACACTCACACATTCCTAATTAGTTTTCAGAGGAATTTGTTTTTTTGTTTTGTTTTGCCAATAACCCACTCACATTTTGTTTCAGACTTTGGTGAAATGTTATCTCAAGAAGTTTCTTAAAATAATCCAAATTTTAAAATTGCCATCACAGGATCGTTTTTTCCTCCCTTTATAATAAAGGTGCCCTGTTTCACTTTAAAGGTAAATAACATCTAATTTCTAAAATGTTTTAGTACCTTGAGGGAGGAAAAATTGCTAAGTAGCCAGGTGATTCAAACCTAAATGCTATCAGTCCATGAGGCACGTAAGACCAAGCCTTCTCATGGAGGCAAGCTTATAATGGATATCAGTACCCAGAATGTGGGAGTCCTCTAATATTTGTCACAGTGCGTGCAGTATAGAGCTTGCTCTGTGCTGTCAACCCACCTTCCAGTGCATTTTAACTGGATCCTGTGTGTTTCAATACAGCAAGTTGTTGGCTTCAAGAGTGTCCATAACTAAATTTAAACAGATTAACAGGAGAGCTGTATAGCCTTGCAAATGAATGCCACCTGCAAGGTCACACATGTGCACGGAGATAGAAGGAGATTAGATCCTCCGGTCAGCGTACTTTGACCAAACTTTACATCGTAAGTGACATATTGGGTCCCTGGTATATCCATAAACTATGGACAGTTTCTGCTTTTAATTACAATTAAAGGTGTAAATCTTCTAAATCAAATATTACAAGATCACCAAGTACTATTGTGGAATTCTGGTTTCAGGAAACTGTACTGTAGCTCGGCATCTCATGCTCAATGGGCCTGACATCCCAATGACTAAGTCACTAATGTGTTAAAACTTATTCTGGTGTCAGTAAATCCTTCTGTGGTCTTCTGTCTGCAGGCTTTTATCTTCCCTTGGACTTTCCAAGGTTTCTCTCTGCCCTGCTGTCCCAGATCCTGCACCAAACAAAACGTCTATCTCTCTGTTTTTTTTTGTTTTGACCTCTGGCTTTTGCTTCATCCCAAATAACTCTTCCCATGTCTCTTCAAGTCTGAGGTCAAGACTGTCCGAGTGACTACCTTTGTGAGTCTTGTGTATTCATAATAGTCATCTATTACAGATTCATAATTATTCATATATTTAAATCTATGCTGAATATACAATATGCCAGTAATTATGAATAAAGTACATAAAAGAATATTTAATGACACATTTCTCATTGCATTGTGTGAAAAAGCAATTTAAAAATTACTATGATTGTATTTTTTATGAAGAAAAATACATAGTACAAAAAAAATACTAAAAACAACCACAAAAAATGCTACTAGTGTGTACAACTTACTTATTTTTTTAGGTTAGTTGGTAAATGTATTTCATTTTTATAGTAAGTATAATTTAATCAAATGTATCTAAACTCAGGGTACCATATTCCATCCTTAAGTAAAATGTTGTAACTCTAAGCTCTTTCAATTACCACCCACAATGACGTATATATTTAGGTATTTTAGAGACTATGTAATGTGTGTGTATCTCTGTGTGTGTGTGTGTGTGTGACACACAATGTGTTTTCCACTCTGCTGTGTCATTGTGTGAACGCATGCACAAAGGAAGGTGACCGTTGTTTCTGGCGAATATGTCATATACAGGAAATGTCTTCTTGGCCCACACTGCCACGGTTAGAGTCCTCATATCTTGCTTCATGGTTTGATTTTCCACATACCCTCTTGCCAGCATGAGGAGGATATATTTGGGACCCACCGAAACAGTTTTTAAAGTGTGGATTAGACAATTTCCCTTGACACTGCTTCCCTAATCTAGTGTGAAGTAGAATTAAACAGTAGAAATGAAGGAATTTACTTGGAAATATCAAAATAAAAGGAAGAATTGTTTGCTTATTCGGTAGACTCTAAAGGAACTGAGGAAAGGATTGAAGAAAATTGGGAAGCATGCATGTTGTTTTTAAATGATATGTGAGCCTAGGATGTGTAACAGCTGTGTTGTTGTTATTTTTCTTGTGCCAACGTTCTTGGTTTGATTGATGTTTTTTTTCTCTCTGACAGCTCACTGTGCTGATAAATGTGTCCATGGTCGCTGCATTGCTCCAAACACCTGTCAGTGTGAGCCTGGCTGGGGTGGGACCAACTGTAGCAGTGGTAAGTTCCCCACCTGCCATTGTCTGTCTCCGGGTGTTGTTGTATGGGTCCATTTTCTGTGGAGGACTCTGAGCCAATGTTTCTGTCTTCATCCCAAGTGGAAGGTGGTGTGGCTTGCAAATCTAACTCATTCATGAACATTTTGATGCTTGTTTAATGAAACCACAGCATATCACATAACTGTCTTCGTTATGTCAGAGTTACAATTAAAATAATATCTAGATTCTAAGAAGGCTGCCCTCAAGGCCTCCATCTTCAGGATGTAGGGATGATGAAATATCATAGAATACAGTTACTTTCATAAATTTTGCAGCTAACATTTCAGTGTTCTTATAACTTGTTGCAGTGTGCATAATTGTGTCTTTTTCTGAGAGGAAATGGAAATCTGATACTATATTGCAATGAATAAATCATTAAACCCATACAAGAGAAATAATTGTTTTCCAAAATTGAGCCAGCTCCTCTGACAGCCCAAAAGGGTCTTCATTGCCACCAACTACGTTTTTGAGACGAGACTGAAAGAATTCTAACTTTCCCAAATAAGCTAGCTGGCTTCTGAGACTTTCCCTCACTTTCTTTGGAATTGGAGAGATTCTTTTTTATTTTGCTAAGAAGGCTTTTAGACTTAGGCTATTTTGGCTGACCCCAAAGTCACATCTCTAGGGGAAGCCTTTGTGTTGCCCATGCACAGAACAGTCAGTGTGAAGAGCGTCTTTGTTGTAAACTTTGATAGGGACTGTGAGGGGTGTGTGTGTGTGTGTGTGTGTGTGTGTGTGTGTGTGTGTATTATGTAAGTGCTTGTGTGAATGGATTGAGTGTGTGAATGTGTGGATGTATGTGAGTGTGTGTGTGAGTGAGTGTGAAGGTCATATGTGAATATTTGTGAGTCTGCTCCTGATAGGCACCCCTATTCCATAGGCAACTGCGTTTCAGAGTTTTGTATCACTTCTCTTAGAAAGCAGGGAGCCATTGTGAGCATTCTGTTCACAGGCTATTGAGGTAGAATATTTGGGATGTGGGATTTGGCTTTTGTCCATTTTCTTGGCTGACTGACCTCAAATATGACAGTGCTTTCATTAACTTTTCCAACTTTATAACCACTTGGACCTAGACATTTTGAAGAAAAATATTATTGTAAAGTGGGAAACAGGAAAATGGATAGTATTCTTTATTCAAAAACAGGTTTCTTGCTCATTTCAGGACAAGAGGCTGTGGAATGATGCCAGCTGTACTCATGCTTTGTCTCCTAAGAATTGCAGTTTACCTCAAGCTAAGGGCTCAAACTAAAAGGGCATTTGCTCACAAAACAAAAACCTACAAGGACACAAGACTCTTTAGAGCTTATTTGGGCCCTTGAGAAAGTAAACCACTTCTGTCTATGTTAGAGTTTTCTGACTTCAGTGAAGACTCCAAAATTCTGAGAAAATACATTCTAACAACAACAGAAGATGATAATTAAGCAACTTTCAGCTCGTTCCCTATGATTCATGTTTGGGTTTTGTAACAAATAAAAATATAAATAAACACAAAGAGATATTTGAAGTCTTTAAAGATGCTGCAAGAATAACGTTCCTGACACTTTTTAAGTCCACACCATAAGGAGGTAGAGGGCAGGAGTTTGGCTCCCATCTCACAGCTGCCTATAAGGACAGCTCTAGGGGATCTGGTGCCCTCTTGTGGCCTCCATGGACTCCTGCACTCATGTGCACAAACCCTGACATTTATGCATGCCTGTACTCATAATTAAAAACTAATCTTTAAAATAAGTACATAAAAACACAGGATAAAATGCTGTTCAACATGAACTGCATCCAAGGCCAAATCTGCAAACTAGGTTTCATCTCAGGAAATTTGTCTTGTCCTGGACAGATAATCTGGAAACAGAATGTGTTCTGCAGGCTTTAGAAGCCAGGGAAGTTGTACTGCTGAAGCCCCATTGACTCCAACGGAGCTGCAGGTGCCAGAGAAGCCCCAGAGTTGGGTCAGCTGAGCTCACACCCTGGGACAAGAGCCAAAACCGTCTTCCTTTCTGCAGTGTCTCACCAGTGCCCTCTACTGAAAATGCTTAATGTTCACCCAGAGGACAAAGGAAAAGTGGTTAAAAGACTCATGCATGCACTGTGTGTGTGTGTGTGTGTGTGCTAGGCGTTGAGGAATACATTTTAAATGGGAAGGCGATGCATTGGTAACCCCTTGATTTACACAGCTACCATATTTATTCTTCTTCACGCTTGCATTCCTCTCCAGCAACAAAATGATTCTGTCTTCCCTCCAGATTAGATAGAGCCCCATTTCACAGATGAGAATGTTCCTGCTGTCTTCTCCAAATAAGGAGAGTGTTGCATCCATTGTTACTTATTCTATACCTTTACAAAGTTAGTTACAGCTCTGCTGGGTATCCCCTAAATACTATAGTTTGTCCCCTAAATACTAGCACTGTGTACCTAAAATAAAAAAAATAGTGGATATGACTCCAACATAAGGATTCTTTTAAAACTTCATTCAAGTGATTTTTTGAAAAAGCCCACATATATTTCTCTTTTATTGGCATCTAAATGTCGCCCCCTGCCTATATGACTGAATGACATGAATCCATTTTACCTGCCTCCACCTTCCTACTCCTTTCCCCTTCCCCATCATTTGTCTGTCTAAGCATCAGTCCTCTGTTCCTCTGCCTCTGCCATTGGGTGATGACTTCTGGAGGGGAGGATTCAGCTAATACGTTAATCTCCACTGTACTTGGCATCTGGCAGAAATTATGAGACTGAGTGAGTTGTACAACACTGGGAAGGTTATCCATGGGTTCATTTTGAGGACTTTCTCTGAATGGTTACAGTGTGCAGGACATTGTACTGGATGCTGAGGATAAAGGAAAAAGATGGTGAATGGTTACTAATCTCACAGACATAGCTTCAGAGAAACGTAAGACGACAGACCAAGGGATGCTGAGTTGGGTTGACATGGTAGGGAGGATTCTGAAAGGACAGAGCAAGAAGGCCTCAGTGCTGTGCCAGTAACAGAGAACAACAGATTATCATTGGACATGAAAAGATGACTCTTCCAGAAACTTCTCTGAGAAGCCATAGGGAAGGAACTAAGAAGTGAGGGAGTGTTTCTGAGGCTAAGAAAAGGCTTTGCTGCCTTTCTTAGAGGCTCTGAGGCTGGGGACTCAGTTGAGAAAGGAGATAGTTGGGGAAAGATGATTCTAGGAGGCAGTTAGGACTGGCACAACTCCCCAGCTCTGATGGGGCATTAGTGATGTGCGTAGCTCTTGTTCCGAGGAGAACAAGGAAGGAGGACCTGGCCAGAGCAGATACACATAGGTCTCTGAGTGTCCAGGGTAGACAATCGGAGGAGGACCTGAGGAGGTTTGTTTTCTATGATCTTGATTCCTCTTTAAAACAGGCTGAGGAGGAGATTTGCTGATAGGAGAGGTGATATTGTGGAGAAAAATCACACTGATGGTGATAATGGTGGCCTAACTCGTCTTTATTGAGCACTTGGTGCTCACCAAAGATCATTGCAAAAGCCCAGGAATGAACTCAATGCTGACCATATTCTATACTGTGGTTGAAAGTACGGATCCTGGTTGGTGGGGAAGGAAGTGTGTGTGTGTGTGTGTGTGTGTGTCTGTGTGTGTGTGTCTGTGTGTGTATGTGTTTGTGTGTCCATGCACATATATGCACACATGTGTATGTGTGTGTAGAAAAGTGGACTTGCCTGAGTTTATGTATCCAGTAATGGTGGATGAAGGTTTGACTCTCATTCAGAGCCAGTACTTGTTAACCACAGTAGCATGCTGTCTTTTGAAGCTGAAGACATTAGTAAAAGTCAACAGGCTAATAAGACTTAGAGGAACAAGAGCAAGAGGCAGGAAGGAGTCTCCAGACAAATATTAGGGAGGAAATCTCTCTGCAAGATATTAGAGTTGGAGAATTTCATTTTGAGGCAGGGTCTCGCTACGCAGCCATGTTTGACATGGAACTTGTGTGAAGCAGGTCGGTCTTGAATTTACTGAGTTACTCCTGCCTCAGCCACTAAAGTGCAGGGGTTAATGGTGTTTGCCATTGTTTCCAGGCTGAACGGATGAAATTTTAATGGCACCAATGTGAGTTTTCCATATGTGTAACACTGTGAATGATAGCCCACACAGTACCTGTGATCCTTCTTATGCAGATGATTCTATGTATTGTTTACTTTAATGACTTTTAAAAAAGATTTACTTCATTTTGGTGTGTGTGTGTGTGTGTGTATACATATGCCTGGGACATGTACGTATGACACATGTGTGACATGTGCCAGCAGTCCAAAAGAGCCACTGACTCCTCTGTAGCTGGAGTTACAGGTAGCTTGAGCCACCTGTCACTTGGGTGCTGAGAACTGAGGTTAGGACCTTGCCAGTGATCTTGCTTTTAATCTCCCAGCTTTCTCCCCAATCCCTCAGTGAGTTTGCTTCTGTAGTTACTGAAGGCTTTCTTTCCTTATGTTGTAAGTCCTTTACTATGAGACGTAGCCACACATTTGTTTTCTGAACCTACCAACTCTTCCTTTTAATTTTAAAATAACCATTGAGAAATTTATTTCTCCTTTGGTCACGAGATAACTGAAAATCCCAAATGAGCCTGTGGCCAGCAAATAGATACAAAAGCTTCTCCCACAGGCTCCTTAGATTTTAGATTAAAACCAAACAGAGACAAAACTGGAAATTAATTTTGGTTCAGAAAAACCCTTAAGGGGTTTTATTTAGTCACTAATGGCATTTCTGGTGTTCATAAATAGTGAAAATATTGCCTCAGAGGTGAGGCTGAGTCTAGCATTTCCAGGTGTGATTGCAAGGAACAGTAAGGGCCTTTTGAATTAGGCAGGCGTGCTGTGCAGCAGGGAGCGGTAAGAAGCTGCCTGCAGGGTATTTGAACGGAGGCATTTGTCTGAAAGATATTACAAGCCAGACATTGTAAGGCACACAAAGCTGACACACTCCCTAGCAAAGTCTGTGGTAT